ATTCAAGTTTTATTTTGATTTGAAAAAGAGATCAGACACTTGAATCACTCTTAAATTTGGTAAGACGTAAGTGGTTCAATTAGTTTGATTTTTGTTTAAATCCTCACCTTTAACTCAAACAGAAAAAAAAAGTCTCATTCAAGTTTTATTTTGATTTGAAAGAAAGATGGAGACACTTGAATCACTCTTAAATTTGGTAAGACGTAAGTGGTTCAATTAGTATGATTTTTGTTTACATCCTCACCTTTAACTCTATCGATTGTACTCCTTCGTATACTAACATCTAAAAATGTAATATTTGTTTAGTATAAACATGAAGGGAGATATAAGGCGTTAGGTTGAGCTAACACGATTTGCATTTTGTCGGCTACCGTTGAACTCCATACCGACTTTGATATAATTAAAAAAATTATGTGTTTGATGGATATTATTGAGAAATATGTGGTTAAAAAGTAGGAAAATTATTAATATGACAAAAAATATTATTATATTGAAGAATGTATGATTGAAAATGAGTTTTGAAAGAATGTATTTTTATAAAATGTGTGTTAAATAGGGGCAAAAAAGTAAATGCATGGTTGGACATTGTCCTCAATGCTATCCATTCCATGTTAAAGGAAATCAATAACTTTTAATAAAAATTTTATAAAGGATAAAAAAATTCTTCTCTAAAGATATCGAATAATCCAAAATGTAGTAAAAAAGGTTTTCTTCTCTAACGATATCGATAATAAAGGATCTTCAAAGCTTATTTTATTATTAGAGAAAAGCCGATAATCCTAATTCTAAAGTTTTTTTTTTTCTCAATCTAAATTACGGAGTTTTTAAATAATCTTGTTGAGAAAATAATTATATAAAAAAATCTCTTCTTATCAAAAGTTGAATCAAGTGCAAATTAGAATCGAGTGCAAAACTTCAAATTCAATCTAACGAACAATGCATGAACACAAGTGACAATAGGAACATATAATACAGTTTTAATCTTTTTCACTAGTACGACACATCAAAGTGACATTAAATTAGCTAAAATCGCTTGATTCTAAGTGGAAACTGGAAACATTTCACATGGAAAGTGGTGGTACGATCCCCCATCCACATCCCCTAATGTAATAATAATAATAATAAAATCTGTTACTAAATTAAAAGTCTATAAAGAACTTCTATATATGACAATTCCGTGAGGGAAAAGTTTATGGATCAAGTATTTAATTTGACATTTGAAAAAACCAGGTGCTAAAATTTTAAAATTGCAAAAATCAAGTTTCTACTTTTTATTAATTAATTAAATATTTAATTGTGTAATTTGATAGCGTATATCTTATTAATTAGTTAAAAATTAATTTCAGGTCACAGCTTATCAAATTAATTGGCCTCAGATTATTTTGAGGTCACA